TTTTTTTTCTTAGAAGGTCAGAGATAATAGGTTTAAGGCCCCTGAGGCCCTTGAGAGGAAGTCGGTATTGAGCTTAGGTGATATACTGGGTAGCTGAATGACCACAGGGAAATGGTGCCCGGCAACACAGAGGTTTTGGACATCCCAGATATAGCAGTCCACTTGAGAGGCTGGTAAAGGAAGTGACATGTCACAACTGGTAAGTAGGGTAGCTAGGAGAAAGAGGAGAGAGGATGCTGGTGAGCCTGGTGTCAGGTGAATGGGTGGAGTAAAGGAATAGAGGTTCCCACTTTGCCTAAAAAGTCCCTTCCCTGTTAGGGGACTAGACAGGTTGGCATCACTAAAAAAGAATGAGTCAAGGAAACACCCCTGAAAATACAATTGAGTGGTCGAGTCTGGCAAGGCTGGCAAGGCCATCCCAACAATAGAGGAACTAGAAGGAGAAGTTGATCCCCAATACTCCGTCAGGACTGATTAGTGGCTCTGGTGTCCACAAAGAATGAGATGGACTGCCCCAATACCGTGATAATTACCCATGGTTCCCTGTTAGTGATGGCAGTGGTTGGGTCAAGGGAACCCAGGCAAGCTTAGTCATCAATAGCCAGGCCTAGGATATTATTTTGAGGGCCATCTGGAAGTGATAACCCCATACCATAGAAGAAACATTGGTAGTCAATACCCCGTTGTCCCTCTTGGTGCATTTTGGACATGGCCCCAGTGGCTTGTGGGGGTTAGTACAAAACCGGACCCAGTTTTTTTCTTTACCACATTTGAAACAGGGACCCCATCGTCCTTGTGCCTTAGGAGGCAAGGGAGCCTGGGTAGTCGCTGAGTCCAGTCAGATGGCTTTGGCCAGCATTTGGTATTTTTGCTTGGGGCTTTCTCATTTCTCCCATGGTACACCTTAAAGGCCAGCACTAAGACATCTGCCTGTGGAGTCAGAAGTCCTAAGCAATTAAGCTTAGCCCTGATGTCAGGGTAATTCTGGAAGATAAAAAGGTCATCAGGAGTTGCCTACCCTCTGTACTTTCGGGGTCTAGATTAGTATGTTGTAAGGTGCTCTGGGAATTAAGATGGGTGTTCATTTTTGTCCTGAATGATCTTCTAGAGCTTCTCATAATTAACTTGCTTGAGGGCAGCCTGTGGAAACCAGCCAGGAGGCAGGTCATGAACTGATCGCCAGGTAAAATGCCTTCCGGGGTGTTATAATTTACTGCCTCAGTCCCAGCCAGTTATGCTGCCTTTGTTTGGTGAACCTCATCTGCCCGTGTTTTATCTTGTGCCCAAACTCACCTGCACTCCTCAGGTAGTAGGTTATTGGTAAGAATCATATATATATATATATATATATATATATATATATATATATATATATACACACACACACACACACACACATATGCATATATATATGTATATATAATGTAAGGTAAGACTATAAGATTGAGATAATAAAATTCTTTAATGAAAGTAGAAGGATTAAAGGTATAGGATCCTAGTGTCTTTTCTACTTGAGAAAGTTCAGTTAGTGAGAAGGGATCGTGGACCGTAACTAAATCATCCATGCTGGCCACCTCCTGAAAGGGAAGAATTGAAGCTGGTTTACACTGCATAGAAGAAGAAGAAGAAGAAGGGGGCTTTGCTACAGATCGAGAGATGGTAGTGGGGGCCCTAATAGCTGTTAGTGGGGTGAAAGTGGGTGCCAGAGTAGGTCGAATAGGATGGCCTGTTGCTTGGGAGGGGAATGAGGATGCTAGAGAAGCCAGAGGAGGAAAGAGAAGAGGAAGGAGAAGCCAGAGGTTGAGGATGATGGTGTGGAGGTTTGTCAGAAGGGTCAAAGGTCTCTTGAGGTTGAGACTTTATAGCTAGAAGAAGTTGGGTTGGGGAGCAGGAAGAACAGAAGGTTTAGAATGGAGATGAGAAAAAGCTTGAATAAGAAACCTCCTTCCCTTTACAGGATTGCTGACAGTAATTAAAAAGATCCCATAAAATATTGGGACTTAAATGTGACGGTAATCAGCCAATTTGAGAGGCATATGAGCTTAGAGGCCTTTAACTCAGGCTCCAGGCGTACAGTTTTAAAAATTTTCCAGAAGACATGCCAGTGGGGATCCTGGAGGAACGGAAGAATGGGCGGTTCCCATTGGGCAGGTAGGAGTCAGTGACCTTCTAGAGGCGTCCCAAAGGCAATGTTTGGCTATGTAGACTGGTATGGTAATATCTGTTCCAATAGCTCCTCAGCATTGGCCAGAGACCTAGGGCACAGATGCTGGTAGCCTCTCCCCAGAGACACACTTCCTCCAACAAGATCACACATTCTAATTCTTTAAAATAGTACCAATCCCTGGTGACTAAGCATTTGAATATATGAGCCTATAGGGGCCATTCTTATTCAAGCCACCACATTCCATTCCCTGACCCCCCTAGGTTTGTAACCATATAATACAAAAAAAATGCATTTGGATCAATTTTAAAAGTCTCTGTAGTATATCACAGTTTCAACACTGTTTCAAAGTTCAAATTCTCTTCTGAGACTCATGGCAACTTCCTTACTGTAACCCCTGTAAAAATCAAAATAAAAAATCAAATCACATACTTCTAACATATAGTGGCACAAAATATACATTACCATTCTTAAAAGGAGCATAGTGAAAAAAAAAATACTGAACCAAAACAAGGTCTAAAACCAGTCAGACAATTCCAAATTCTGTATCTCCATGTCTGAAGTCAAAGAACTCTGCTAATCTACAAGTCCTTTCAGCTTTGTTGACTACATCCTACTTCTCTTTGGGGCTGGATCCACTCCCTATTAGCAGCTCATCTTGGCAGATATCCCACAACTCTGCAGTCTCCAAGATCTTAGAATCTTCAGTGAAACCCAGTCTTCCCCCTCACAGCTTCACATATGGCCTCTTTATGCCTCCATACCGAGACACCCTTGACACATTCCTGGCCCCAGCAGCTTTCTTTAGCCTTTGAGGGATATTCCACAACCCCTGTACTTTGTATCATTGACTCTAAAGGCAGAACCACCTGTGGTGGAAACAGCCAAGTTCAGCTGCTTGATCAGGCTGGAATTAGACCCTCTTGTTCATTTACATTCACATCAGCTTTCTCTTGCTGGTTTCTTTTAATGCTTAAGTGTTTTTTAATTCCTTTTAACAAGCTGAAGTTTAGCTGGGTTGCTCTGAAGTTACCACTCCCCTTATTCCATTTATCATCAAGCTTTTTTTTAAACATTTTATCTCCAGCACTGGGCTTCACTCCATTGCACTTCTTGATGTTCCTTTTCTCCATAAACTGTACATTTTAAACAAATTTTTCCTTGCTCCTCTTCATCCTTTTCATTACAGAGCTGCTTAAGAGTGACCACTAATAACCACATAACAGTCAATATTTGGCAGTCTCAAATCTCCTCTGCCAAAGTCTTAAAACAAAACTGTTCAGTTTAGCCTGAGGCAGATTTTTAAGACTCCTAAAATAGCTACAGCCTTTGTCAGAATATCCTAATGGTACCTGGGCCACTTACTAATATTCTCCCCCTCTAAACTTGAGCTGGACCCCCACAGTTCAAATCACCCTCAGCACCATTGTCTTCCATGTTTATACTAGGATGGCCCATTAAGCCCTGCTTAAAGCATCCAACTGCTTTTCTAGTCCAATGTCTTCCATATTTCTCTAACAAAGCATGGCCTGTCACAGAGATATCCCAGTTCCTGGTCACTATTCTTTTGCTATGAAGAGACACCATGACCACAGTGACTCCTATAAAACAAAATATTTAATTGAGGGTTTCAGTCTCAGGGGTTTAGTCCATTATCATCATGGCAGCAGGCATGGCAGGCATGATGCTGTAGAAATAAATGAAAGTACATCCTGAGCCACAGGCAGAGAGGAAAATACTGGACTTAGCATGGGCTTTTGAAGCCTCAAAGCCCACCACCCCAGTGATACTTCCTCCAACAAAGCCAGACTTAAGTCTTTCAAAGAGTGCCACTCCCTAGTGACTAAGCATTCAAATCTGAGCATATGAGGACCATTCTTATTGAAAACACCACATCAGGTGATAGAACGATATGCTATAGTTGCACTGTGTTTTTTTACTTGAGTAATATTTGGTCTGTATTAAGCATGAAGCAATTGTTTTATGCTCTCTATAGAAAGGTATAACGAAAACAAGGGCTAGAGAAATAGTTTGGTGGTTAAAATCACTTGTTATACATGACCTCAGCTTGGTTCTCAGCACCTACATGGTAGATCATAATCATCTGTAATTCCAGTTCCAGAGGATCCAGTACCCTCTTCTGGCCTACATAGACACTAGGCATGCAGGTGATACACAGACATACATGCAGGCAAAAATCTCATACACATAAAAACAAGTTTAAAAAATTTACACCACTGTTGTGTGTTCTGAACACTCAAAGGGGTATTTGGAGTTTTGGGTGTTTGTTTATTTGTTTATTTTAATCTCCAAAAAGCAAACGTTGAGCTAATAGCATCTTTTTTCCAGAGACCTTCCTAACTCCTTTCTGCCTCTCCGACACTGACCATCTCTGTTTTATGGGCAAGAGCCTTTTGAGAATAATTACCATTGTATGATTGAACTAGAGGTGGGCAATAGTCTTAAGAATGTAGCTTCTGCAGTGGAGCAGTATGCAGTTTTTTAAAGCCTATTGGTTTTACTTATATTTCCTCTGAGCATTAATTTTTTTAGTGTTCATAGTTTTCCCTGTGCTCATTTGGCTGTTTTGTTTGTTTGGTGCCCTCTTCCTGCACTGTGTATTATTTATTAATGATGATGGACCTGTTATAAGCCAGTACGTGTATACTAAGGGATCTTTGGCTAAACACTGCCTTCTGCTTTTGCTAACAGAATAAGCTGATATTTAGATCATTAATTCTCTTTTTACTCTTCTCCGTGTCAAGATTGTTAACTGTACTGAGATTCCATGGACATCAGGAATTCTGTATGCACTCTCCTTTGTTTGTGCACATAGGTCCCAGTCATGCAGGGAGCAGGCATACAAGGAACAAGCATGCAAGGTGGAAGCCAGCCTGGTGGCTTTAGTCCTGGACAGAGCCAAGTCACACCCCAGGATCATGAAAAGGTAAGCAAAGTTTGAATGCCTCCCCATGTACAAATCTAGTTATCTTGATCTTTTCACAGTTACCATGAAGATCCTGGGTTTTCAGAAGCCCTCTGGATGGAATGTTTACTCTAACTTAAAAATCTAATGATTTTGGCTGAGCATTTTGGGGACCTGGTCTTAAAGTTTTTAAGTGAATATAACTGGCAACTTACTTTACATTTCAAACGTATCTACAAATGGCAGGTATTTTTTTCTGTGCAGATCCAACTGACCTAAAAATTGAAACTCCCCCTCCCCCACTGCTTCTACTTAATCCTTACAAAAGCAATAGTAGATTCACCATAAGTATATCTTTCTGTTGCTATACTTGGGTATTTTTGGAAACCTGTATCTGATGGAAAAGCTTAAACTTGTAAAAATGAAAACTCAAAATAGGACTAAAAGCTTAAGAGTTCCCAGGGCTCACAGATACCATTTTAGTCTGCAGGAATTTTGAATTCCTGAGGTGTCTGTTTGCATATTTTAAGTATTTTTATTTATTCTTGTGTTCTTCATTGTGCCTTTTCTTCCCAGATTTTCTTTCTGGCGTGAAGTTTTGTGTGTGTGTATGTGTGTGTGTGTGTGTGTGTGTGTGTGTGTGTGTGTGTGTGTGAGAGAGAGAGAGAGAGAGACACTGTAATATATCCTCCCTTTTCCCAGTTTACTTCATATCCCATGACAACAGCCTTTTTGACAGAAGCTGGTGATGTTTTTGTTTTATTTGGTTTCCTGACTTGTCCTTGAAACTAACAACTTTCCATTCCTCTGTACAGGCTGCTTTGATTATGCAGGTCCTTCAGCTCACTGCAGACCAGATTGCCATGTTGCCTCCTGAGCAAAGACAGAGTATCCTTATCTTAAAGGAACAGATACAGAAATCCACTGGGGCCCCGTGAAAGGTGAGCTGACTGAATGATACCGGTGTAGGACTAGGCCTTCTGTATCTGAAGTACATAACGTCAACCTTTAATAACTTAACATTCTCTGAGACCCTCATTCTTCATTAGGCTCTCTAGGGATAGGGTAAGGCTGTAGAACATTTGTTCAGATGTTGAATTACTTAAAATCACTTTCAGCCTTTCTAATAATGAAATTAACGTCAGTTTCCCAAAATTAAAAAGACATTAGAATGTAGAAAGTTAAAAGTAGTGCCAGCAAAATGGCTTAGCCCCTGGTAAAGGTACTAATTTGTTGCCTGTTCTGATGAACTAAGTTTGATCCACAGAACTCATATGGTAGAAAGTAAACCAACTCTGCACAGAGTATCACAAGTGCACCCATGTATAATAAATAAGCATAAGGAAAAAAAAAAAGGAAAATAGGTTGGTAAAGGTAAAAAGGCCCTCCTTCCGGAATCTCATTCTCCCAACAGAACTAACCAAAACTTTGGCATTTCTCATTCCATCATCAGTTTTTATTCCAGATCATTCCTTCAAAATGGAGGAAATATGAAGCATTTTTTTAAAAAAAAACTGTTACTCTTTAGGCTTCTAGTATTTATGTTGTAATGAATTTGTGTGTGAGAGAGAGACTTGGTCTCTTATAACCCAGGCTAGCCTTGAACTCACTATGTATCTGAGATGACTATGAACTTCTGATCTTCCCGCTTCCACTTTCCAAGTGCTAAGATGACAGACATGAAGTGCCACACTGTGCTTTAGAGATGCTGGGGATCAAACCTGGGATTCATGATTTTGAGGCATGCACTATACCAGCTAAGTTATATCCCAGCCCTTACTATTACAAGCCATTTAAAGTAGTAGATGTCCCTGTCACCATCAGTTTCTTTACGTTTTAAAGATGATTGTACACTACCATTATTTTTCTCGTTCATCAGTCAGGTAAGAAGGTTCCAAATACATTTAAAATTCATACTGTTCCAGTACCTGTTGGAATATTTTTGGAACTTTTACTTTTTACCTCACATCTTATAATTCCCATACACATTACCGTATGACAGTGAACTCTTGTGATAATTAGCAGTCTTATTAACTATATTGTAGTCCATATTTGTAATGCTCTTAAATCTTCCAAAACTGCAAATATTCATTTTATCTTACTGAGACTTTAAATGACTCAACTATAATTGGAAGTGATCATAGAGTGTTGACTACCTAGACATTTAGTTTATCCTACTTTTCCTTTTTTCTGTATATTCCAACCATTCTATTTTCTTCATTAAAAATATTGACTCCCCCTGAGGGGGGAGCAGCCTTACCAGGCCACAGAAGATGACAATGCAGCCACTTCTGATGAGAACTGATAGTCTAAGATCAGAAAGAAGGAGAGGAAGACCTCCCCTATCAGTGGACTTGGGGAGGGGCATGCAAGCAGAAAGGGGAGGAAGGGTGGGATCGGGAGGGGAGGAGGGAGGGGTTTATGGGGGGTACAAAATGAATAAAGTGTAATTAATAATAATAATAAAAATATTTTTTAAAAAAAAGAAGTTGGAGGTGAGGGAGAGAGGGATTGGGAGGGAATGAGGGAGAGGGCTACAGCTGGGATACAAAGTAAATAACCTGTGATTAAAAAATATATATATGGACTATACTGTTCTTAGGAATTTACTTTTTAAAACTTATGTCAGAGAAGACATTCTTTGCAGTGTGAGAAAATTACTGGTTTTAGAGTATGAAAATAGAAGTAAGTATTCCTGAAAGTTCTTTCATTGTGTACTCTTAATTATATCTTATTTGAATTGGGTGTGGTAGCACATGCCTTTAATATCAGCACTCAGGGAGGCAGAGGCAGGGAGATTACTATGAGGTTGAGGCCAGCCTGGTCTACAAAGCAAGTCTGTCCAGGACAGCCAAGACTACACAGAGAAACCCTGTCTCCAAAAATACATATATCTTACTTGTCTTACATACTAACCTCAGGGCAAGAAGATTATATAGGTTTTTATTTTAACATTTTGACCACAGTTTCATAAAAGTTGGGAAAATAATACAAAGAGCCTCAGGTACTCTTTGAATAGCTTCCCACAGTGATACCATCTTACATGTAGTACAAGGCCATGCAGTTGTTCTTGGTACAGTATTGTGAACTAGACTACAAACTATACTTACTTTATACAGCTCAGTAATTTATACCAGTGGATGTGAAACCACAACTGTGATTTTATGTGAGCAAACTCTCTACTGGTATTTATGCATGTTGTGGCTGAAGCATTGTCTTTTCATTGTAAACTGAGTTTTGGTTCTTTTTGCTATCACACACAAGATTATTTACCACTTTTAGAGATAAGTAGTTCTTGGACAAGAGAGAGAGCTCAGTTCCTAAAGTGTTTCCTACAAAAGCTTGAGCACCCAAGTTCAAAGTACAGAACCCCATGAACAGTGAGCAGTGGCACACTCTGGTAATCTTAGATGGGAAGGTAAGGACCGGAAGGTCCTTGGGGCTCGTTGACAAACCATCGTAACCTAATTAGTGAGCACTAGGTGCGAGTGAGACAGCCAGTCTCAAGAACTTGAGGTTGACTTGAACCTCTTGTTTCTGCCCTCATGTATGAGAAAAAGAAAGAAAGGTAGTTTTAAAGTAGGAGAAGTTTACTTACCTGTGGTATATTTGTCAATTTCTATAGACATTTTATGTTGTCAAAACTTTAGAAAGTGGTATGCCACTATCATTTATTGGGTAGAGATCAGAGATGCTCCTGAACTTCATCCCATAATGATGCACAGGATCTCTCCCTTCCTTCTTATGAGAAAGCACTTTGGCTGAATATATCCATATAATGCTAAGGTTGAGAAACCCTGCTACAAAGGATGAGGAAACATGACACAAGGCTGTTTGATCTTCAGCACATCCTCCCTTCCCTCAGTCCTGTTTGTTTGTTTGTTTGTTTGTTTGTTTGTTTGTGGGAGGATGGTTCTCCTGACGTTTAGGAAAGAGAGGTCCACTTGTAAGAGCTTTCTCCACCTTTGTCTTACAGGTTCTCAAAAATACCTGGCAACAGATCTGGAAATAAAATTACATAACATTGCTGAAATTTTGAAAACATGGTGACTTCTGCATCCTCATCACTCCGGATGACTCAAATTGGTGCCAGGTGGAGAATTTGCATCACCATTTCTCCAAATGAAAGTAGTTCATTTTGTTGTCTTAGTTTGTATATTTTCTGTGATATTAAATAAACTTGAACACAAGTTTAACATACTGCAAATTTATATATATATATATAATCCTTTTGCTTTTAAGAAGCTAAACACCAAGGATAAAAGCTTAGTTATGTTTTCTACGCTTACTGCAGCATTATTCTTTAATCTTATATTGCCATAGCTCTATTCTTACTTTAGCATAAACATGTATTCTTCTTGGTGATACTTAAGAATTTCTCAGAAACAATATTTTCAGGAACTTTGTTTTCTCATGAATTTGCTCACAGCAAGGTAATAAGGCTTTGCCCTTTGAAAACTGTCTAGAGTCTCTGAGTTTTCTGGGAGAAAAAAAGCACGTGGTTAAAGCTAAAAATGGTCAGAAGGCCAAAATCAAAGCCTGTACCACAGTGGTTTGTTTGATTTAAGAAAAGCCAGTTATCAAAATATGTTGTTTGGTCAGTAGCAGGTCTAAACATACATAAAACAAAGATTGGTTTGGCACTGGTTTCACTGAGTATCAACAACCAGAAAGACTGTTGTAAAGCTCTTACATCTAGGTAGCCAACTTTACAAGTTTACAAAGCCGCTAGTTTTCCACATGCTCAAATTAAATAAAGAAAATCAAGTGAACAAAATATATTTCATCCCACAAAATTGCAAAGCTTTTAGCCTTATTTTCAAACTAAATTCATTCCAAGAACTCAGAAAACCCTAAAACTGTTACATTTTCAAGTCTTAAGAGGACCAAGTATAAGCACAGGACAGCAAATTGCCCATTGTGCTTGCCTGCTTCTTTCCAAGTACACCTACTTGGAGGGTAATTAGTGCCATTAGCCTGTGCTAACCTGCAAGTCAACTTGCCTTTTGTTTTCCTATAGTGTCAGGTTTCTCTCCACCAGTTCAAACTGAAGACATTTGAAGAGTTGCCTTAATAATTAGTAAAGTTTACTAGAACTAATTGTGATCTTATTTATATTCCCAGAATCCTACCTTCTGTGTTAGGATTATGGGCAGATGAATTAAAATCAGTACTTAGGCATATAAAGCATAATAGCACATTGCTTACATGCCAAGCAAAAGGATGAATAGATACTAAAATTATGGGATTTTTCTATATATATATATTTATAATGAAAATTTGCTGGATATGTCATACTATAACCTATTAAGAAAAGTGCAGTACAGCAAACACTCCCTGCCTGTTCTACTCATTCCCATTTCAACCTGGATGTTAATTATGCATGCAGTTCATTGATTTTGTTACCTTCTGTGCCACCTGCATAAGCAGTCATTGAAGTGTTGATTTTGGCAGCTGTCATGACTTAAAAGCCTCAAGCTATTTAGATGCAGAGACCAAAAGGAAATTATTTCTAGTTAGGAACTTGGGTTTTACACAACCAATTCCAAATCAAGATCCTGAGACTGAAGTTACTTGGTAAGCAGTTATCTGATAGAAACCATATCCTGGAAATCCTAGTGTCCGTTTTCCCAACACTTCATTAAACTTAATTTGTTTGTCATTCAGGTGAATATAAGTTGATAAGAGCAGTGGCATCCCAATTCATCTTTGTGTAAACACCAGTGTTTTTATTGGTGTAATAGAATTAGCTACCCCAAGTTCATGATCTGCCTTTATTATGTTCAGACTTGTGACTGAAAAATGATCCCACTAATCCTTCAAGCTATAGTTTCTTAGATAATTGGAAACAGAAATGTGATCACTTTTGGTCAATTAATGGTAGAAAATAGGTGGGCCTATGTGAAGTCTATAGATTCAGTCAGTTTGAGTACAATGAATTGTGGAGTTTTTCTCCCCCTGGGGAGCCTGGGCCTTCTTTTTCTTGTTATCCACCATGATTAACATCCTAGAGCAGTGTGGTTCTTGTCCAGGTTGATAGGAAAAGCAGTGACATTCAGTGAATGATTCCTCATTGAGTAAAACCTGGAAAGTAGTAACAATTCTAAATGCTTTATTTTCTTTTTATACCAGACATTCATAAACAAACCTCTTTAACAAAGGAATTAGTAAAGAGCTTGTGTTACATTAAGTCATCACATGATGTAGATCAGGCCTTCCCAGTTACTTCAAACAATATAAAATGACAGCATAGTTGGCTTCTAATTATAATACAAATTTGATTACAGTTAATCTACTTCAGAAAGAAAGCCTAGGACAGTAAGTAAAATTGTTCAAAAAGCAAAGATGAAAACCTTTTTTTTGACAAAGCAAAAAAGCAAAGTGTAAATTGTTGGTCACACTGGATGAGATCATATCTAACAATTTTCTTACTGGGTATGATATGAGTGAAAATCATGGAAATTTTATGTATTATTTATAATTATTGTTTTATCATGAATTCAATAAATATTTTAAAAGTTACCCAACTTAGAAATATTTTGTGAGGGACAGGTGGGAGGGAAGATTATGAACCAAAGCCCAGGAATCATCCAAAACACCTGAGGCTTAAATTGAGCAAGTGTCAACCAGCAAAGTTCAGCTAAAGGCACGTTTCCCAGAAGGATATTTAATTTTCCCCACAAAACAATTCATGGGATTTGTAATTATTGTGACTTCCACAGCTCTCAGGTTGGCAAAACTCAAGTATGATGAAGTTGAATACAAAACATTTTTTAAAAGTTCTTGTTAGTCATAATATTATCTAGAAGTTGACCCACAAGTTGATGAAGAGAAAAGGAAAGTGTGGAAGAACTACTGTGCTTCCTTCTACAATTCAGAAAGATTCTTTGTTGAAGTAGAATTGAACCTTCCTAGGATCCAGACTTGAGTATCGCTGACAGCATTTGCGCAGGCTCTTTGCCAAAGTCGGAGGGCCACATAAGAAAACCCCCACAACAGACCTATAGGAATAGAACAATAATAATTACATGGATGCAAGGAGAACTGATGATAGTAGTGAAAATGGAGAACAACCTCTGCTACTCCCACAAAGTCAAACAAAGACTCAGTTTTCTCACAGACAACTACCTCATGTGATTGGATCCATGATCATTCTGTCCTGAATGGGGGCTGGGTTTACAGGGCCCCACCACTATCTGAGGAGCTATTGTAGTAATGGTTGCTGGGGAAAGGGGAGTCATTTCATCATTTTCTTCAGTGCAGCCTCTGGTAGCTTGCCAATGCTCCTGGAAGCAGCCCTAATTAAACTCGCTGGGTCACCAAATAAGGGCAAAAAACATGAAAGTAGAAGAGGGATGAACTAAAGAAATCAGCAGAGTGAGAAGGGGCACAAGAAAAAGAGAGTCGTAGGAGGTAAATATGATCAAAATCCAAGTGGTCAACCCTGAAATCATATATACAATTAACATTAAATGGCCTAAGTGGGTTGTGTTTATATATTTATATTTATATATTTAATATATATGTATATTAAACAAAGAGAAAGAGGCCATGAATTTGAGAGAGAGCAGGGGATAGTAGGGAGGAGCTGTGGGGGAAGGAAATGGTATAATTATGTTAATTTTTAAAAAATATTAAAAAACATATACATGTGTGAAAACAATGAAACACATTGTATATAATTGATATGTGCTGATAACTTAAATTCAGTTGTTAAAATCCTGCTTTCTTCCAAGTAAATTTTTTCTTAACCTTTTTGTTCCCAAGTCTTAAATAGGCTCTCAGCCTTCCCCATTTTATTGACAACAGACACAAGAGATGTAGTACAATACCATTGTTAAATGTTAGGCTCTGCAGTCAAGGCAGGATAGAAAGACAGGGAAAATTAAAGGGACATTAGCAGGGAAGGAAGCCCCTAGGATCTGGTTTGCCTTTTACTCTAAGTGAAGAAACCTCAACCCAAATGATAAAGCCAAAATGACCTACAGAGATAATGCAAGTTTTTCTAAAGACATATTAAACAAGAATTTTAAAAAATGAATGGACTATGTTTACTTAGCTAGAATGTTTGTCACCTTGAGTTTTGCCATATAAATTCCCCTATCTCATACCTCACCTGACAACATCATTTACAAAAGAAAACAACTTAAAAACAAGTAAAGAAACTCGTGGTTTTTATTCACTTTTTAAACTTCCCCTAAGTTTTAATCTTCACTTAATCATTAAACCACGGAAATTATACCCTTTCAGGAATGTAACCCAAGGACAGGATTGTATGTATAGTCTTGTGAGGGACATAGATGTAACTATCTTGAGGATCCTGCGGCCATGACTTGGGATTGTATACTGTCCTTCTTTTATATAATTCTCTGTTTAAATACTTAAACTCACTTCGTTCCACTTGGGCTGGTCTTGACATTCTTTTCTGCCAAATAATCAAGGATTTGACTTTTCCTGAATGGAGGCCCTAAGGCGAAACGGTTGATCTGTCTCAGCTACTACAGGCAGAACCAGTCTGGCCTGCTCTGCTATCCCAACTGTGTCACTTTAAACACATTTTTTTTAACCTCTCTGTTGGAGCTTACCTTTCTGAAAATGAGAATAAAATAGCACCTACCTTACAGGGTTGTTCTAAGAATTAAAAACACAAAATAAATGGAAGAGTGCCTGGCACACAGCAAGTGAAAATGAGTTAACTGCTGTTTAAACTATCTTTTGTAGATCTTCCCAACCCTAGACTTTGATGTGCCTGTGAAGATGGTATTCTGCCAAAGCCAAGCCTTCTAATTACACTGTGAATCTCAACTTCTCCTACCTCTCCTTCTCTTTTTAAACCTAATTATGGTATAATATATGTACCGTAAAGTGCACCCTCTGAACTGTTCAATTAGTACTTTTTGTTACAACCACAAAGTTATGCAACCATGATCACTAATGTCATCCCCCTCAAAGGAAACTCTGTCTACCTTAGAATTCACTGATTTCCTCCCAGCCATACCCTACACAATCACTGATCTACTTTCTCTAGATATATTATCATTCCATAAATGGCCTTTTCATTTTAATAATTTTCAATTTTTTAAAAAATAATGTGCACATGTGGGGACCATGTGCATGTATAAGTATATGTGCCTTCAGAGTCCCAAAGAAGGTATCAGATTCCTTGGGGCTAGAGTTTACAGAAAGTTGTGAACCACCCTTTATGAGTAATAGGAATTGAATTCAGGTCCTCTGGAAGCACAGCAACACCACTGCGCCATATCTTCAACCCCCTCTGGTTTCTTTTATTCAGCATAATACCTTCAAAGTCAATCCATGAGATTGCATGTGTCAGTATTTCTTTCATCTTTATAGATGAATAAAATTCCATTCTGTACATATACCACATCTGATGGTGGAAAGCCTGGCTGTTGTCACTTTGGGCTATTGTGAGTAATGCTGCTCTGCACATGCATGTGCAAATTGTGTGTCTGTGTGTGTCTGTGTGTGTGTGGTCATGTTGTCATTTCTCTTAGGTATATATCAAAGAGTTTGATTTCTAACACTTTGAAGAACTGTTGAAGTGTTTTTTCCAGGTGTTGCAATCCCCTATATTCCTGTTATAATCAATATAGTAAGAGTCTAAATTCTTCAATTCTTTGCCAATACTTGTTATTGTTGATTTTTGCTGTGGGCATTTCATTCTTCTCTCACACATACTGGATATTGCCCTGTCTCTAAAATGCATTCAAACAAACCTTATACTAAATAGTAAGTGCTTTTTCAGCCTATCATTCTAACACTCATGCCCATGTTGCTGTACTATTTTCTTTCTTTTGGCTTCTGGGACAGTATATGTCTTCATCCTTAGTGTTTATATTGGTTTATCTTTCTTTCTCCCCACATTATGTAGGCAATCCTTTGCAATGTTCTTTCTCAGAGGTCAATGTGATGAGAAAGCAGAATGGGGAAACATCTCCAGAAAGAGAGAGATCCAGCTGAGGTGATTTGTTTTGGAGTTGGAGACAGTTGATGGAAACACAATACAATGATAAAGTATATGAAGCTATCATTACACCCATAAATAAGCAAGTAAAATACTTTCCCCCTTTTCCCTTTCTCTTTCCTTTTACCCTCTTCTCCTCATCCCCTTTCTTCCCTTTCTTCTTTCCCAATCCTTCTTAGCAGTCTCACTCCCTTTTGCTTTAACTGTTCAACCCAAATGACATAAACATAATGTCTTTTGCTAACATGTTGCTTTACAATTTAATGAAAGTGTTTCGTGTATTGAGCCAGTCTTTACAACCATGTACATGACTAATGTCCCTATTTTGAGGACAAGAATTCCAAATATCAGAAGGAATTTTAGCTCCATATGCCATAACTGTAAAGTGTCAAAATGAGAGTTGGGACCCAGGATCATACAAATTTATGTCACTACATACTGTCACCACTGCTTTCATGAAGCCTTTACTGTTCACTTCATGTGTCTTCCTGTCCTTTGACCTTTCTTCCCTGAGGTCCACAGACCTGCTTCCTGAAGTGCATTATTCTGCTTTGAATTAATTCTGTGCATATCTTCTTTGAATGTATACTTTAAAAAAAAAAAAACAACCATATCCATTTTTTCAACCTGTTCTGGAATAGTAATAGCTGAATTTACAGAAAGTAATGAGTAATGTTTGTGGAGATGGATTGCTCTTCCCCTGCCAGCTTGTTGGAGGATGAGTTACCAAAGTCCTCCTCTCCTTTTTCCTATTGGAAAAGCCAGTTTCAGATCATCAGGTTTTTTTCTGTATGCTCTAACATGTCTCAAAGTTCTACAGAAAACTGGGTATAGTGGCACAAATCTGTAATCCCAGTACTCTGAACATGGGGGCAGGAGGACCTAAAATCCAAGATCATCATCTGCTATATATCGAGATATATGTAGTTGTAGAGGTTAGCCTGGGCTACATGAGACCCTGTCTCAAAACACTAAGCTCTGTTGGTTAATGAGCTAAATAAAATACCCAAAATCATATTACTTTATGTAGAGATCATTGAGCACTCCACTCTCTAAAATGCATGCAAATTTCCCCAGTTTTTTGTTTTGTTCAGCACTATTTTTAAGAGTAAATTCTCTTCACCTTGCTCATTGGATAGAGGTTTATGGTAACAATAAACAGCTTTTCATCAATTACAAAATCATGACCCTTATTTTTACTAAAAACCCGATGAAATTTCCTCATAAAGTTTTTTTTATTAACTTTGTTTACTTATTTATTTATTTATTTTCTGTGTGTACGTGTTTGTGCATGCACATGCTTTAGGTCTGTCAGAGTTCAACAAGTGGACAAAGTGCCATGTTTCAAGTGTGGAGGTCAGAGGACAATTTAGGGGAATTTGTTCTCTTCTTCTACCATGTAGGTCTTGGTGGCAAACACTTTTATCTGATAATCCATCTCACTGGCCCTCTCTGTCCCAGAGATCTTTTCCCAGGTGTGCTCAGCATACTTAAATTTTAACTCTGCAGACTCAATTCACTAGAGGACAAGGCACTTACTTGGGGTGGGCAGTAGCTATTCTAGAAAATTCATTGTCCCACATTGGTCTCCCAAAGAAGGTTTTCTGTTTCAGACCTGTCAGGATGTCAGTGGCTTTGTCAAAGTTTAATGCTGCATGACCAGCCTGAAACCAGAGAAATATAAAATTAGAAAGCCCAAGTTTGATGGCTGCCTTTTCCTTAAGCTGCTTTTAACTTTCAGTGTGAGGATGAGGCCAGGTAAGAAATGATAAGAAATACTTATTTTGGAAGGTATGCACTATATTATTGTGTCTTAACATTTGATATTTGAATCAGTGTTTTATTTGAACTCACAATGTTGCTATCCCAGCCAGTGAGGAAGAGACGGTAGTTTAGGAAATCCATTTTGCCTAATTCTTCCATCTCTTGTTCCAGGGAATTCAATAAGTTGTTGAACCAGGCAAAGGCACCTGTCTCTCTGCAGATCCAGTAGAAATAGATCTAAAATGAGCAAAGAAGTCCATACCTTATTAAGTATCCTTCACAATGTACATTTAATGACAGATGTGTGTGTTTATATGTGTATGTGTGTGTAACATAAATACATAGATAACACATAGAAAGAGATATACTTGTTAACTAAGTCTAAGGATAATCAATCACACTTATAAAGTGGAAAAATTTTAGTCTGAATATCCAGAATTCTGACAAATTTTCATTACAGAAGGAACTTTCCAAGGTCATTTTTGTTACTGGTAGATCATCATATTAAGCAAAAGAAGGCAGACTGAGAAAGACACTTGTTGATAATTTTATCTTATACGGAAAACACGGAGATAGAATGAAGAGTATTTGGGGGAAAGGAAAGAGGATACTAGGACACAGGCTAGAGAAGAAGAAGGGGATAGGTAAACATGATCATAGTAAATGATGTACTTTAATGGAAATGTCATTATGAAATAATACTATGTATAATGAATATAAGCTTTAAAACACAATGAAAAAGTTCAAAGTGAAAATAAAACATTAAAGTAAATAAAAACAAAGTTGCAAATAGAAAAGAATCCTGTAGCACTGACAGAGAGTAATCATCACTCACCATTTGGGGGAGGGTTGTTTTGTCTTGATTTTTTTTTTTTTTTTTTTTTTTTAGTGTGAGATTTGTGTTATTTTGTCTTTTTATCATAGGCTTTAAAAATTATTCTGTCCAGATTTTAAAAAGCTACTTTTAAAATCATTTAATAGGAACAACCTTGGATAAGCAGAAATAGCTTTAATTTGAAGGATTAGAGCACTGCCAAGCTGAGAGAGTATCCACCAGACAGAGTGTTTCTCTTTTACGGCCTCTGAAATGACAAGATACAGACTGGTCTCTAGCAGCCTGGACCCTGCAGCCTCTTTGCAGTGGTGCAGAGGCCAGCTTTGTGGCAACAGGCTGGACCAACTGCCTACTGCATTGCCTGCTAGTGCTCCTCAAAGCCACCTCTGCCCTATTCAGCTATGACTCAATCCTTTCTTCAGATAGGTTCTCCTGCCCATCCCCCACCCCCTTATCAAGGGTGAGACTATAGGCTATGATAGCCCAGGCTAGGGGAATAGTGAAATGAGAGAATGTACCTTTTGTATTTTGAGACTATTGTCTGCACGCTGGAATTTGTACCAGATAGATTTCAAGATGGAAGCAAAGGGAGTGACCCCAATCCCTGCCCCAACCAGTACAGCCACTTCATACTGGAAAACATCCTCACTGACCGTGCCAAAGGGACCATCCACCTCAATCCTAGCAAATGAGAGAAGAAAATGGATGCATGAAGACTCATCTCCATCTTGAGCTCAAACATCCCCAGAAACAAACTGCTTCCCCAGCTGGTACCTTCGCACTTATTTTTACCATATGCTCTATTACAAGACTTGCACTTCAAAAAGGACTTGTTTTCTCTTTTTGGTTAGTCTACATCTTGTTCTGAATCTCTGAAGGTCTCAATGACCTACCTTGGTAATGGTGAGTGCTGTTGTTCAAATGTCCTTATGAGATTTTCTGTCCAGTCCCCTGCTGCTCTGACATGAATGGAGAAAAATTCTTCCTCTGGAGCAGAGGTCAGAGTGAAGGGATGCCACTCCAAGAAGGAAATTGAGGGGCAATTTACAAATACATACTGTCCAACTTCCATGCTAAAGCCATGCTTGCTCATCTGCAATTCCAAAACTTTAGATGGATGCATTACAACCTATGAATGAAGCACATAGATAATCAGAGGCAAACTCCAAACATGGCAAGGGCAGACATTTAAAGAAAAGAAGCTTATATTGTGCGGACCAGTCCTCTCCAGAAGGGAGCAGGTACTCCCTAAGCCACTACTTAGCTCCAGACAATGGCTGCAGTGTAGAACTGAGATTTGGTGTTGTCAGATCTCTGGATAAATTAAGAGAAGCAAAGAAAAGTGACTTTGATACTATTATATTTTAGATATCATACAAAATAATGGATTTGATTGTGTAATATGTATACACATATCACTATTTTTTAATTTTTTTCTTTATTAATTACACTTTACTCACTTTGTATTCCCCCCATGGTTCCCTCCCTCCTTCCGTCCCAATCCCTCCCTTCCTCCACCCTCTGCATGCATGCCCCTCCCCAAGTCCACTGATAGGGGAGGACTTCTTTTCCTTCCTTCTGATCCTAGTCAATTAGGTCTCATCAGGAGTGGCTGCCTTGTCCTCTTCGGTGGCCTGGTAATGCTGCTTCCTCCTCAGGGGGAGCACATATCACTATTGTTGAGCTCCATAAGCAGGCATCTCTATAGCCAACCCCAAGGGACCTGACAAATAGGATCTCAGGCATCTGTCAGGCCACCTGCGGACCACCTGCAGGCCACCTGAAATCACCTGCGCATGCTCTGGGTCACCTTATAAGAGAACTCGCACTACCTCTTCTCTCTCTCTCTCTCTTTCTCTCTCTCTCTCCTTTCCCTCTCCTCCCTCTCCGTCCCTCCATCCCTCTCTCTCCCTTTTACTAGAGATGGTCTTTGTGACCCCCTTCCCTTAATAAAACCTCCTATGAAGAACCAGTCATGTGGTGTGATTTGTGAACTGCCATGTAACTTTGATGCACAATCCTAACATTGGTGCATTGGCTGAATAGGCACTTCCAGTGGCCATGCCACGTCATGTTTGCTTTCTCCACTAGTGCCACCACAGGAGCTGCTGGAAACTTATTTCAGATCTGCCCATGACCCACTTCCCGGAAACTAGATTGCTACCTCCTATATGCAACACTGGCTAGATTGGTAAGTTCTCCTCATTGGTCAGCATAAATATGTCTCTTGGTACAGGAAGATTGACCTTTGAGCTTCTGGCAACTTCCTGGTACTTTTTGAGATGGAGAAACATCCAGCCACAGCCTTCACTGGCCATGTTTGGCTCTTTTTGCTGTCCTCCATTCAGGGCTTCCTTTTTCCCTTGAGTGAGATTTCTTTCCTTCTACTGGCACAGTTTTGTCATCCCCCGCACCCCCCTTCTCTTGTCTCCAAAAATCCTAGCACTAGGTAAACTGTCAACTATAGGCAACTGTGCCCTTGGTCTCTGGCCAATGCTGATGAGTTGTTGGATCAGATTGTACCATACTACTCTACTGAGCCAAACCTTGCCTTTGGGACATCTCTGGCAGGCCACTGATTCCTACCCACCCAATAGGAACTGCTGATTCATCCATTCCTCCAGCATCGCAACTGGGATGTTTTCTGGAGAATTTTTTTTTTTTAATTTTTAAGTTTAATGTTTTTAAAACCCTATGCATGGAGCCTGACTTACAGGCCTCTAAGCTCGTAGGCTTCTGTAATAAAACTTGGCCTACATATTCCTTAGATAACGGTTCAAATTGGCTGATTAATGGCACATTAAACCCCAGTACTTTACAGGATCTTTTGAATTATTGTCAGTGATTTGGTAAACGGAAGGAGGTATCTGATGTTCAAGCATTCTCTCTCCTCCGCTCTAAACCTTCTCTCTGGTCTTCCTGTTCTCCTAACCAACCTCTTCTAGCTACAAAGTCTCAACCTCAAGGGTTCTCTACCTTTGACCCCAAGGATGAAGCCCCGCCTCGACGTCAACCTCCAGCTTCTTCTCAACCTCCAGCTTCTCCCTCTTCCTCTGCTTCCTCCTTTTCCTCTTTGGCTTCTCTAGCATCCTCACCCTTCTCCCCAGCAACAGGCATCCTAGTCATCCTATTTTGGCACCCACTTTCACCTCACCAACAGCTATTAGGCCCCCTGCTACCCGCTATCACTCTATAGCAAAGCCTCCTCCTCCTCTTCCTCCTCCTCCTCCTTCTTCCTCCTCCTCTCCTCCTCCTCCTTCTTCTACTCAGCATAAACCAGCCTCAATTCTTCCCTTCCAGGAGGTGGCTGGAGTGCATGGCTTAGTTAGGGTGCATGTTCCTTCTCATTAACTGAACTTTCTCAAGTAGAAAAGAGAGTAGGTAGGATACTATACCTCTAATCCTTCTACTTTCATTAAAGGATTTCAATATCTCACTCAATCTGATAGTCTTACCTTCCATTATATATATATATTATGATTATTACCAACAACCTATTAGCGGAGGAGCACAGTTGAGTTTGGGAAGAGCCTAGAAATGCATGCAGATGAGGTTCACCAAACAAACACAGCATACCTGGTTGGGGTTGAGGCTGTGCCTGACCAGGATCCACAATGGGATTATAGTACCTCGGAAGGCATTTTAGCTTGAGATCAGTTCACAATCTGTCTTCCTTTTGGCTGGTCTCTGCAAGACTACCCTCAAGCCAAGTAATTATGAGAAGCTCCAGGAAGTAATTCAGGACAAGAATGAAAACCCATCTCGATTCCTAGAGCACCTTATGAAGGCCTTCTTAAAACAAACTAATCTAGACCCCAAACATACAGAGGGGAGGCAACTCCTGATGACCTATTTTTTCTCCCAGAGTTACCCTGACATCAGGGCTAAGCTTAAGTGCTTGGAGAGAGGACCTCTGACTCCACATGCAGAAGTCTTAGTGCTGACTTTTAAGGTGTACCATGGAAGAGATGAGAAAGCCCCAAGCAAAAAATACCAAATGCAGGCCAAGACCATTTGACTGGACTCAGCGACTATCCAGGCTCCCTTGCCTCCTAAGGCACAAGGACCATGGGGTCCCTGTTTCAATTGTGGTGAAGAAGCTCACTGGACCCAGTTTGTCCTAACCCCAGCAAGCCATGTTCAAATTGCCTCCAAGAGGGACATTGGGGTGTTGACTGCCATGGTTTCTCCCATGATATGGGGGTATCACTCCCAGATCACCCTCCAGCTGACATCCAAGCCTGGCTATGGATGACTGAAGGTTCCTGGGTTCCCATGATCCAACAACTGCCATCACTAGCAGAAAGCCACTGGTAATTAACATGGTATCGGGGCAGCCCATCTCCTTCCTTGTGGACACCAGAGCCACTTACTCAGTCCTGATGGAGTATTGGGGACCAACCTCTCCTAGTTCCTCTATTGTCGTGGTAGGGAGACAGCCTTGGAAGGCTTGCCAGACTCGACCACTCAGTTGTATTTTCAGGGGTGTTCCCTTGAATCATTCTTTTTTAGTGATGCCAACCTGTCCAGTTTTCTTACTGGAAAGGGACCTTTTAGCCAAACTAAGAGCCTCTATCTTCTTTACTCCACCCATTTGTCTGATCTCTCCTTCTTATAGCTATCCTACCTGCCAGTTTGACGTGTCACTTCCTTTACCAGCCTTTCAAGTGGACCCCCAAGTCTGGGATGTACAAAACCCCTCTTTCACTAGGCACCATTCCCTTTGTGGTCCTTTAGCTACAGGATTCCAAGCTCAATAACCACTTCCTCTCAAGAGCCTCAGGGGACTTAAGCCTATTATCTCTGACCTTTTAAAAAAAATCCTTTGCTCCAATTCCTCTCCTTTTAACACCACTATACTTGCTGTTACAAAGCCCAATGGAACCTATCGCCTGGTTCAAGACTTCCACTTTCTCAATTGTGCAGTTGTCCCCTTCCACCCTATACTATAGGGGCTGTAACTACCCCTAGGCTCTCCTCTCCCTATCCCATCAGGTTACCTCCCATTTCTCAGTTGTGGATCTCAAGGATGCATTTTTCTCTATCCCCCTGGACGCCCAGTCACAAAATAGCTTTGCCTTCACCTGGAGTGACCCTGACATCCTTGTTTCTACCCAGCTTACCTGGACTGTCCTACATCAGGGATTCCAGGACAGCCTACACCTGTTTGGCAAAGCCCTAGCCTCTAATCTACTCTCCTTATCTCTTCCTAAATATTAACTTATACAATACGTAGATAACCTTCTCCTCTGCAGCCCATCCCTATGAGTTAGCCAAACTAACATCTCTGCTCTTCTAAATTTCCCATCCAATAGATCTATTGGGTCTCACCCTCCAAGGTCCAATTGACCACCTCTGAGGTCACTTACCTGGGACTAACAATAACCCCAACCCACAAGGTATCACCTTAGAGAGAAAAGACCTAATACGATCTCTGGCAGTGCCCTCTACTAAAAAGAAATATTATCGTTTTGGGGAATGGCTGGTTTCTTAAGGTCCTGGGTCCCTTCCCTTTCCCTTGCCCACCCTTATATGAGGCAGCCTTAGACCCCTTGCATGAACCCCTTTTTAAGCCCATTACTAAGCCCTTTCAGAGGCTCCAACAAGCTCTTCTTGAGGCCCCAGCCCTACATCTCCCATACTTAACCCGTCCATTCTCCTTCTATGTAACAGAAAAAGAGGGATATGACCTTGGAGCCCTGGGCCACCAACTGGGACCCTTCTTTGCACCTGTAGCCTATCTATCAAAAAAATTAGACCTGACAGTCCAGGGATGGGCACCCTGCCTTAGCAGCTGCAGAGCTCCTTATTTGAAAGTCAAAAAAACCTAACTTTTGGGTCACCTATTTCTGTCTTCTCTTCTCACAATCTATCTCACCTTTTTTTTTATAAAGACTTACAAACTCTACCTCCCTCCAGGGATCTTTCCCTCCAGGTGACACTAATAGAAGACTACTCTTACTTTCCATCCATGCCCACCTCTTAACATTTCAAACCTTCTTTCTGGACCTAACTCTGATTACTGTCCATCTCATTCTTGCATTGAAACCTTAGAGAAGCTATTGCCCCATCTCCACACATACAAGAGGGCACATTGCCTCAGGCCATCTATACCTGGCATACAGATGGCAGCTCCTTTGTACAAGAGGGAGCTCAAAATGCAGGCTATGCCATAGTGTCAGATACTAGGGTAGTTGAGGCAAAAACCCTCCCTGCCCACACCACTAATCAGCAGGCTGAACTAATAGCTCTTACCCGCTCCTTCCAATTGGCTCAGGGACAATCTCTTAACATCTACACAGACTCTAAATATCCTTTCATATTCTTCTCTCCCATACTTCCATCTGGAGAGAAGGTGGGTTGCTTACAGCAAAGGGAGTATCTGTAACCAATACAGGCCAAATTATGGCCATGCTAGAAGCCTCCCACCTTCCCAAGGCCATCGGAATAGTCCACTGCCAGTTCCACCAGACAGATGATTCCATCTTTTCCAAAGGAAATAACCGGGCTGATGAGGCAGCTAAGGCTGCAGCTCAGAAAGGCCTAGATTCATCTCATCCACCACAGGACATCTTTACACTACAACCCACATCTCCCCTGTCATCTCCTGACTTTTGTCAGATTCTGTCCTATCTACTCCAGCTCTTTCATTCTAACAGTCGAGCTTGTCTAACTTTGTCAAGACCCATCTGCAGCCCAGCCCTGAGGACTTGCATTTCTTAAAAACTATTACTACCTCTTGTAAGATTTGCCAGACTTCAGATCCTAACTCAGGATATCATAATTCCCCTTTCCCTACCCACCAGGCTAGAGGCTCTCTCCCCGGGACTGACTGGAACTTGATTTTACCCACATGCCAGCAGTCAAACGTGTCTAGAACCTCCTGATCTTGGTGGATATGTTCATAGGATGGGTGGAGGCATTCCCCACTACTAACAAAAGAGCTGAGACAGTTTCTGATCTCCTTGTCTGTGAGATTATCCCATGTTTTGGACTCCCCACCTCCCTCCAGTCAGACAATGGCCCTGAGTTCACTTCTCAGATTTCCCAGACCTTATCTAAAGCTCTTAATATTCCTTGGTATTTTCGTATCCCACACCATCCCCAGTCCTCAGGAAAGATAGAACAAACTAACTGATCCTTAAAAAATACTCTTGTTAAACTATCACAAGAGCTTCACCTCTGTTGAGTAAAACTCTTCCCCTTGGCCCTTTTCAGGCTACAGGTTCTCCCCAAAAACCTTTGTCTATCTTGCTCATCCATGTATGAAGGACCAGTCCTAACTCTGGGTCTTTCAGCTAAGTGCTTGCCTCTCCCTGACCACACATTTAGTCCCTTACTCTGTCATCTCTGTTCTTTTCTATGGACCTTTACTGACCACTGTATACCATGGCCACCCACTAACCCCTGTCCATCTCTTACTAACATTTGGGTACCAGGTCCTTCTCTCCCCTCCAGACCAAACCCCTCATCTCTTTCTCTTAAATGGCAGGACCCTTTCAAGTTGATCTTTGTAACCCCCACAGCTGCCAAGCTTGAAGTCTTCCTTCACTGGATTCATCTATCTCACCTCAAGCCTTTTATCCTTCTCTTTAAGATAATGCCCCCTCTTACATACCAACTCCAACAGGACCCTGCTCCCTCAAGCTTCAGATGCCAAGATCAACCACTTTGTCTCTGGTTCCAGAGGAATGAGGCCTAGCTATAACAACTGTGTTCAACCCTACTGCATTGGATATGTATTTTTCTTCCTCTCTTGTCTGTTTCTATCCAGGGTAATCCCTATGGAGAGTCAAGTTTCAAGAAACAATCAATGATAATAAAGTCTCTTCAAATAGGGTTGGAAAACTGTGTTATCGGAGGCTGTCAGAAGCCAACTTAAATAACCATCACTCCTACATCTATCTCTCCTCTTATTTGATGGAATTTTTGTTTGTTTCCTCTTTGATCAAACAAAAGATTATGGGAAGAAATAGCCAGACAGATACGGAGGCTGCCCATACTGGTCTTGCCGAGTCCATGTACTGGCACAAATGAAACTCCTTCACCTGTATAAAAAGACTCTCTACTTCTACATCTGAGACCCTTGGGATCCCAGATGGGAAACACGCATTCTTGGAAAACTCTACCACAGCTACAAACCCAACTTACTAGAGAAAATACATCCCAATTACCCAATACCTGGGGATGGGAGAAGTAGAGAAGGTAATTAAACATTTCCCTAAAGTCATTTCCTCTCTGACATCCCTCCTCCTAAATAATACAAACCTGTCATTTTGTTTTCTACTTCAGACTCTGACCTCTGCCTACAAGCCCCTTAATATGACCAAACAGGACTGTTTTAAAGTTTAGTGGCTGTGTGTCCCACCTGGGACCAACTCAGAACTACTGCTAACAGCTTCTCTGGAGACTCTTTCAAGTATCCTTACTTCACCATTACTTCACTAACTGCCCTGACTCTGATGTTGCCAACCCCCCCCCACACACACACACCTTTCTCATATGACCCTATTTGGCATGGCAGGCTGTTTCAAGGCATTTGGGACACACTCTGTAGGAATGCTAAGTTCCTTAGACTGTAATAAAACTGTAATCCTTGATACCTCATCTCATCCCCAATGCCCTACTGCTAATAATACATTCTTTGTGGCACTCAGGTCTACCGTCATCTGCCTGCTGGCTGGTCAGGAGTTTGCATGTTGGCACTCCTTTTCCCTGAGCTGGGGGTAATAAATGAAAAGGAGCCCCTAACCAGTCCCAGTCATGTACTCAATAGCTGCCCGGCAGGATAAGAGGGCAATTCAAATTTTGCCCCTCTTGGCTATTGCAGAAATCACAGCAGCTGTCCAGACCGGGATAGCAGGACTAGCCACTTCATTAACTTTGTATTTTCAGTTTAGGACTAGCCACTTCACTAACTTTGTATTTTCAGCTTTCTTCCCAGTTCATCCAGGACCTCCAGCAAGTGACTCAGACAATGCTAATTCTCCAAGGACAGATTGGCTCACTGGCAGCAGTAGTACTTCAAAACCGATGAGGATTGGATCTCTTCACAGCTAAAGAAGGTAGCCTTTGCATCTTCCTCCAAGAAGAATGCTGTTCTTATGTCAATCAGTTGGGTGTAATGAAAGCCATAATCCAGCAACTCCAGACAAATCTACAAATGTGAAGGGAAATGCTCAAAGCCTCTAGTTCTTGGGCCTTCGAGAACCCCATATGGAAATGGATTTTGCCCTTCTTCACACTTCTGCTCATCTTTCTGCTTTTGCTTTTTCACCCTGCTTTATTAACTTCCTCTCTACATTCTTCCAACAACAAATGCAAAAGTTCTCTAACCAAACCATTAATCAGTTACTCTGACAGGATTATCAGCCTCTGCCCACAGAACCAGATGACAATAAATGACCTTCCAATCAACCCTGATGGTGAAACAGGAATATACCCTGAGAATGACAATGCCCATACTCAGCAGGAAGTAGCTTGAACAGTAAAGCTTACCCCTATGCCCTCCTCAACATCAACCCCTTCCTAGCTCCTCATTTTTTAACAAAACCAAAAGGGAGGAATGTTGGGATCCCTAAGCAGGTATCTCTAAGGCCAGCCCCAAAGGACCTGACAAAGGGGATATCAGGCTTCTGTGAGGCCACTTGTGGACCACCTGCAGACCACCTGTGCATGCTGTGGGTCATCTTATAAGAGAACTCACACCACCTCCTCTCTCTCTCCCTCTCTTTCTCTCTCTCCTACCCTGCCCAGAGACAGTCTCTGTGACCCCCTTCCTCTTTCCTTAATAAAACCTCCTACGTGGAACCAGTCACGTTGTGTAACTTTGACACACAATTCTAACAACTATGATACAAATATTATATTATAAATATGAATATATTATATTATAAATCTTGCTCATGTTTGCTCTACACTTTCCTCTCATTAGTACGTAGTTCACTTTCTCCCCAAGTAGTCAGCATTCTGCTTTCAAGTCTCAATCTCTTCATTACCACTCATAGTCCTCATTTGCTTTCATGCTCTATATGCATTTATATTTAATTCACATTTATTCCAAATATGAGAGAAAATGCTTATTTTGTGTAACACGATAATCTCCAGTTCCCATCTATTTTTCTGTAAAGGGCTTAATTTTGTTCTTTACAACTGAATAAAACCCAATTGTGTTTTTGTAACAATTATTTTTATTTTTGTGTGTGCTTGCTTGTCTTTGTATGCACTGCATTCATGCAGTGTTCACTGAGGCCAAAGAAGTGCCTCAGATTTCCTGGAGCTGGAGTTACAAGCAACGGTGAGCCTCCATGTGTGTGCTGGGAACAGAACAAGTGCAGCAAGTGCTCTGAACCACTCAGCCGTCACCCCAGTTCCCAAGAAATGCTTTTTGTAAGGTTAAACTTCTACCCAGTTTCTTAAAATGTTGGTAAACAGGTCTTTATTTTGTTTTAGGTCACAAGAACTGTTCTAGGTCCTTGAGCATAGAACACTATCACTTTACCACTGAGCCACACCCTCAGTCTAAGTTCACCCTTTATATAATCACCGTGTGTGTAAAATTAAATAAACCTGTAGGCAGGCTCCAGCTCAGGTCTCCTGTTTGTATCCTCCAACACAGACCCATGCTAGTGGTTCCACCGAAAACCCTATTTCCCACAGTTTTGTCCAGCATGGGAGAAATCAAGCATGATTCCTCCTCCAAAACCCTTTTTAAGCCTTCAAAGTAAACATCCTGACAATTTAGTTCTGCTCTCAAGTAGAACACAACTATTCTCACTGCAATGGAAAGTGTATATTTCTTTACCTTGGTGATTACAACCTTCTGCTGGGAGCGATAAAAGCGAAGGAGCCTTTCAAAGATATACATGATGAATGGTGCCAGGATCCACTTCCAAAACTATACAAAAACAGGGAAAAGAATGATATTACCCTTAAATCTCTCATTTAGGACTTATTTGTGTAGTAGTTCATTTCTTCATTAAGTGAATATGTATCAAGGTCTCTATGTGTATCAAGTTTACCACTGTGTAATACTAGCAAGTCACTAATTTCAGCAAAGTTTAGAATGGAAACAATTACAAAATAATAGTTTTCCTTGTCAATTTGTCATTAATAAAATAGATCGTTCATTTAAATTTACAAGTTGTATCAGGAAGTAAATGGCAAAAATAAAGCATAAAGGTGGATGTGTGTGTTTTAAATTTTATTTCAAATTTTAAAATTTGAAAATCTAGGACACCTTGTCCATTCTGAAAAAAAAAAAAATGAAAAAGTAAGTCCACAATAGAAACAAGTGATTAAAAATACAGAACTATCAAAAAGGAGAAGTAGAATACATACACACACACACGTATATGTATAAAATTAACGCTACTAGTAGGAATACAGCAAACTTGACTTCCATCTCAGCACCACAAAACATCAAAAGTAACAAAAATAAACAGATTTTTAATATAATTTTTAATTTATTACAATTTATTCACTTTGTATCCCAGTTGTAGCCTCACCCTTGTCCCCTCCCAACCCTGCCTTCCCTTCCTCCCTCCCTCCCTCATCTCCTCCCATGCCCCTTCCCCAGTACACTGATAGTGGAGGACCTCCTCCCCTTCCATCTGACCCTAGCCTATCAGATCTCATTAGTACTGTCTTTTATAGTCTTCCTCTGTGGCCTGGTCAGGCTGCTCCCCCCCTCAGGGGGAGGTGATCAAAGAGATAGCCACTGGGTTCATGTCAGAGACAGGCCCTGCTCCCTTTTTTAGCAAGCCCATTTGGAGACTGAGCTGCCACAGGCTTCCTCTGTGAGGTTCTAGGTTATCTCGATGAATGGTCCTTGGTTGGAGTATGAGTCTCAGAAAAGACCTCTAGGCCCAGAAATTTTTGTTCTGTTGTTCTCCTTGTGGAGCTCTAGATCTTTCCAAGTCTTTCTATCTCCCCCTTCTTTCATAAGATTCCCAACTTACTTTGTGTCTGCTTTCTTGTTTATCTTCTTTAGGTGTATAGACTTCATTATGTTTATCATATCTTGTAGGTCTATATAAGCGAGTATATACCATATTTGTCTTTCTCCTTCTGGGATACTTCACTCAGAATGATCTTTTCTAGATCCCACCATTTGCCTGCAAATTTCATGATTTCCTCTTTTTTGATTGCTGAGTTGTATTCCATTGTATAAAAATACCACAATTTCTGTATCCATTCCTCCGTTGATGGACATCTGGGTTGTTTCCAGGTTCTGGCTATTACGAATAAAGCTGCTCCAAACATGGTTGAGCAAATGTCCTTGTTGTGTACTTGAGCAAATTTTGGGTATATACCTAGCAGTGGTATAGCTGGGTCTTGAGGAAGCGTTATTCCTAATTGTCTGAGAAAGCGCCAGATTGACTTCCAAAGTGGTTGTACCAATTTACATTCCCACCACATCAATCCTCACTTAGACAGACAAATGAGATGGGCATTGGACATATGACAGGAGTCTACTGCAGAAGGCATCTGAAAGACCCTACCAAGCAGCATTTCAAAACAGATACTAAGACTCATAACCAAACCTTCGGCAGAAGGGGAGTTAGTATGATGGGGAGAGGATAGGAGTCCCACAAGGACCAAATATATCTGGGCACAGGGTTTTTTTCTGAAACTGTTTCTCCAACCAAGGACCATGTATGGATATAACCTAGAACCTTTACTTGGAAGAAGCTCGTGGTAGCTCAACAACCAATTGGTTTTCTATAGTAAGGGGAACAGGGATTATTTCCGACAGGAACTCAATGGCAGGCTCTTTGACATCCCCACCCCCCAAGGGAGGAACAGTCCTGCTAGGCTGCAGAGGAGGACTTTGCAGCCAGCCCTGAAGATACCTGTTAAAACAGGGCCAGAAGAAAGGGGAGGAGGTCCTCCCCAATCTATGGACTTAGAAAGGGGCAGGGAGAAGCTGAGGGAGGGAAGGAGGGTGGGATTGGGAGGGAATAAGGGAGTGGGATACAGCTGGAATACAGAGTTAATAAAACGTAACTAATAATTATAAACAAAAAAAGGTCAATTAAAAAAAAAAGATTCCCAGCATTCTGCCCAAAGTTTGGCTGTGAGTCTCAGCAACTGCTTTAATACCCTGGTGGTTAGAGTCTTTCAGAGGCCCTCTCTGGTAGGCTCCTGTCCTGTTCCTTGTTTTCACCTTCTTCTGATATCTATTCTGTTTACCTTTCTGAATGAAGATTGAGCAACTCATCCAGGGTCCTCCTTCTTGCTTAGCTTCTTTAGGTGTACAGATTTTAGTATGATTATCCGATATCATATGTCTAATATCCACTTATGAGTATATACTATATATGTCTTTCTGCTTCTGGGATACCTCACTCAGGATGATCTTTTCTAGTTCCCACTATTTGCATGCAAATTTATGATTTCCTTGTTTTTGATAGCTGAGTAGTATTCCATTGTGTAGATGTACCACAATTTCTGTATCCATTCCTCAATTGAGGGACATCTGAGTTGTTTCCAGCTTCTGGCTATTACAAATAAGCTGTTATGAACATGGTTGAGCAAATGTCCTTGTTGTGTATTTGTCAATATTTTGGATGAATGCCTAGGTGTGGAATAGCTGGATCTTGACGTAGCACTACTCCTAATTGTCTTATAAAGCGCCAGATTAATTTCCAAAGGGTTGTACAAGTTTACATTCCCACCAGCAATGGAAGAGGGTTCCCCTTTCTCCACATTCTCTCCAGCATGTGTTGTCACTTGAGTTTTTGATCTTAGCCATTCTGATGGGTATAAGGTGAAATCTCAGGGTCATTTTGATATGCATCTCCCTGATGATTAAGGATGTTCAGCATTTCTTTAAGTGTTTCTCTGCCATTCTATATTCCTCTATAGAGAATTCTCTTCTTTGCTCTGTACCACAATTTTAAATTGGATTACTTGGTTTGTTGGTATTTAACTTCCTGAGTTCTTTATATATTCTATATAGCTGCCCCCTGTCAGATATAGTGTTGGTGAAGATTCTTTTCCCAATCTATAGGCTGTCATTTAGTTCTGATGGCAGGGTCCTTTTCTTTACAGAAGCTTTTCAGTTTCATGAGGTCCCATTTATTAACTGCTGATCTTAGAGCATGTGCTGTTGGTGTTCTGTTCAGGAAGTTGTCTCCTGTGCCAATGAGCTCAAGGCCCTTCTCCAAATTTTCTTCTAACATGTTCAGTGTGTCTGGTTTTATGTTGAGGTGTTTGATCTCCCTTGGACTTTAGTTTTGTGCAGGGTGATAAGTATGGATCTATTTGCATTTTCTACATGTAGATATACAGTTAGAACAGCACCATTTGTTTAAGATGTTTTTTTCCATTGTATGGTATTGGCATCTTTGTAAAAAATCAGGTGTCTATAAATGTGTAGATTTATTTCTGAGTCTTCTATTTGATTCCATTGATCCACCATTCTGTTTCTATGCTGGTACCATGAAGTTTTTATTACTATTGCTCTATAGTACCGCTTGAGATCAGGGATGGATCTTTTATTGTAGAGGATTGTAATAAACAGATTAAAAAAAAACACACAATAACATTTTAGCCTATCAATTTGGAAGGAAACTTCCAGCAATAAATGTCCAGAATTAACTGGGATCAGAGCATTCCACGTGTTCGCATGTATAGCTAATGGATGTTGGCAGCACCTTCCTAGAGGGCAATTGACCACTGCATCTTAGCAATGTCAAAAGCATTCCCTCTTTTTGATCCTGGGATTTCACTTCTAGAAGATAAGGATTAAAAAAAAAAGATAAGGAAGGTGTGTATGAAGCCCATGACAACTATATTGAACAAAAGTTAATAAGAAAAAAATGGCTAAAAAAGGACATTACAGATGTTTTAAAAACAAATCTTTGAAAGGGTATTTGACAATACAGGAAAGACTCCATGGCATACATAGAGGGGTTGCTTCAAGTTGTAGAACTATATGAATTCTTAATTCACTTCTATTTTTATGTTTTTATACTGTCTCTAATAAATACATGTTATTTTTCTAATTTTAAAATAGTGAATGTGCTAAGAGCAACGTTTTGTAAATGTCTGTGAAAAAGAGCAATATATTTGGGTGGCAAAACTGGTAATCCCACCATTAGAATATTATATGGCCAATCAAAGTAATTCCTGAACTTGAATATAGTTCAAAATAGGCCAACCTCATGTGTCTTCAACACTATATGGAAAAAAAATACACTGATAAGCAATTTCCTCACCTGTATTCCATAAAAACTAGGACATCTAACAGGGCCCACCATTGATGTGTCATCTGACCATTGCATATGTGCATGAAGGGACTGAAACGTAGAGAAATCCCAACTTTCCCAGAGGCTTCAACTCAGTTAAACCCCTACTGCTGATAGGTCCACTCTAATCTCAGCCAGCTCTCCATCCACACATTTATCTATCTAGGCCTCATCCTGCACTTGACCTCCACAGCCTCCATGGTCCTGCACCTAGCAACTTCTTATAGACTCAGTGCTGAAGTTCTGCTCAGCTATAACCTTGTGGTTTTGCTTGAGCCATCTTCAGCAGCTCTCCAACTGGATTTATTACCTAGATACCACAGAGATCTCTTTGTAGCAGTATCAGCCTTTTGCTTCTGCTTCCAGTAAAGCCACCTTGAAATTCTCGAACTATTCTGTGGCCTTTCTACCCCTCTGTAGCCATTCTATAATTACATAAATAGATGATAGATATTTTTAAAAGATATTTTTAAATTACTTAGCATATTACTATGGACACAAAAGTCTCCTAACAGAATGCATTGACCAGATTGTGGCAAAATACTCCTATGCACTGCTGGTGAGAATACACACATTTAAAAGTATGTGTTGAGGATTAACAGGCAGTATTTGCCAGACTTGAAAATTCTGATTCTGAAAATTTATTCCATAAATTTACTTCTATATATGTTTAAGTACAAGTGTTAAGCTGTTAATTACATTGTTACTTGATAGAAATTTATTGGAAACAGGTGCCTAGCAATAGGACTAATTCATACAGTGGAATGTCCAATGGCAAAAAAAAAAAAAAAAAAAGAAGAGGCATCTGATAGGTACTTGTCATTAGTGTACTATGTCAGAATCACAGACGGATACATTTGTGGTTTTCTTTTTTTTATATAAGGTTTTCTTTATTTATTATGTATACAATGTTCTGTCTGCATGTACACCTGCATACCAGAAGAGGGTACCAGATCTCATTATAGATGGATGCGAGCCACCATGTGGGTGCTGGAAATTGAACTCAGGACCTCTGGAAGAGTAGCCAGTGCTCTTAACCTCTGAGTGCTCTCTCCAGCCCACATTTGTAGTTTTCTACAATGTAAGAATTCACTGAATAACAATACAATCACAAGCTCCTGTTGTGATTTGAAGAATCCTGGTTTCCCTTGATACCAGGCTATCGACAAACACTGATTCACATATTCTAATCTTTGTTATCAATATTAACTCTTAGATAGCATAATACATATTGCATATGCTATGTTTGTCTGTGAATATTATTTAATGATTTTCATCATTCTCAATGTACTTTGCTGCAACACAAGTTGGTTTTCTAGTTCTATTGACTCCTCTATGTAGCAAACATTATGAGCAAGCAAAGGTAAACTGTATCTATGATAATTACCATAACATATACATTACACTTCCTGACTGTATTTATTTATTTATTTATTTATTTATTTCTATTTTTTATTTACTTATTTTTGGTGGTGTTGAGAATCAACTCTAAGGCCTTGTATGTGTGTCCTCCACCACTAGCTATATACAAAGCCCTTAGAACATACACACTCACACATTCCCTCTCTTTGTCTGTCTCTCTCTCTCTGGTGTGGTGTTACTGTGTGTGTGTGTGTAAGCACACACGTGTATATGCATAGGCATATGGTGGGCAGATATCAATGGGGTAACTTCCTCAATAATTTCCCACTTTATTGCTTAACACAGAGTCTCTCACTGTATCTGAAACTCACTGATTTGACTAGATTGACAGGCAAGCAAGCACTAGGGATCCTCTTTTCTCTACCTCCCCAGCTCTGGGATTACAAGTAAATGCTATGACCCTCTCTTTACATGGATGCTGAGAATCTGAACTCCTTTCTTAATGCCTGTGTAACAAGCACTTTATATGCTTTCATAAAAAATGTGAAACAATAGTTTCAAGTATGCTATAGCATTAAAGACAGCCTGCTTCAAGGATGCTTTGATTTTTCACCATGAAAATTTGACTGGAATTTCAAAGCTTAGCTTTGTAACAAAACAAAGGTTTCATCATTATATCCATAAAAAAATGGAGTTGAGTGCAAGATCCATTAATTAGTCATTAGATTGTGACTTTAATTTATCTTATGAAAGTCTAATCCTTTTTTCTCCAAAATGGATATGAAAGTAGATCTCTTACCTCAGAGATCATCTATCTATCTCAGGCAGCAAATCTGAGGCACAGTAAATATTATCAATATTTTTACCTTTGTAGGGAGTTCCCAAAACACGTAGCAAACATTAATCCTTTCTCTTTCAAGAGTCCCTGTAGTTGCCTGTTACAGATGATTTTGTAAAATTGTAGATATCTTTCATAGGAAGAAACCAACACTGAGTTAATAAGAATTTGACAGTACTAACAAGGATAACATTCAAATAGGAGTCAGTCTTTCTCTCATAGCATTCATACCTCTAGGGGGTGCCCCACAAAATGAGGATGTCTGCAACTCCACTCATACTTGTCCCACTCAAGAAAAGAATTTGAACAATTTTGGGGATGACTTTCACCCATGCTTTCCTCTGTTTGGCTCCGAACAATCCCACTGAAACATACAAAGTAGGACAGTTTATGATAATGGATTTATACAATATCAGTGGTGTGGACATGAGGATAGCGATAAGAAGACCTTACCCCAGGCCATGGATCACTAAGCAGATGATATAGACGATAAAAAGGTGATGGGTATACCAGAAGAGCTCAAAGTAATTCCTACGGATAAACTCCATAGCTGAAGTTACCATGAGAACCAAAGCTACTGTGGCAATCACTCCAGTAAGACCAGCAATACTGGTAAATGCAGCATACATCACTGTCTGTGAAAAAGGAAATGTCAACATGGCATAAAATCCACCAAGAATACCATGATTCTCCTGATCATGACCAGATACCTATACTTTGCCATAAAAATAACCTCACCATGTTTGGAGACTTTATGGGATTTAGCCAAGAATTCACTTCTTTCTCCTGATGAGATAGGCTGGAGAGAACAGAAGCAAGAGATCCATCCATGGCCTGTTGACTTTTATTGTACCGTTCAAAGTTAAATAGGTGTGCAATGATATGAATAGCTAGGTGGAAAGATGGTAGGTGTCAGGAACATTATGGCAACCATACCCCCACTGAAAATAGAGACCTCCGCCTATAGTGCCTAGCAGAATGCTGAGTCCACAGTATGCCCAACAACACAGAAAGATCCAAGACCTTTCCCCCCTACCCATTATGTTCCCAAAGGAATAGAATATATACTCCATGAATATGAGTGTCTCATAAATAGTTCCAGGAGCTCATCAAATATTTTTAATGTTTATATGCAAATGACACTACAACCTGAATTACCTATTGTCCATGGCTGCATGCTTTGCCCAAGTTACCTGTGAATATGCAGATCATATATGCCACCAGCTTATGGAAGATGAGGTTGTGATCCAACGGCTTTTTCAGTGTGCGGTTGCAAAACTACAAATGCAAAGTCACATTGGTCAGGTATCACCAGCTAGTCTTAGGAAACACACTAATTCACAACAACAGCTCTTAGCCACAGTATTGCAATACCCAGCCATCCTCATCCACCAAAGGAGACCTCTGGGCTCCATTCCTAGGGGACTCGGTGCTGAACTTCAGCTACTCTTTCTTTTTTTATATATAATTTATTTAATTTTCATTTTATGTGCATTACTATGAAGGTGTCAGATCCCTTGCAATTGGTATTACAGACAGTTGTGAGCTGCCATGTAGGTGTGCTGGGAATTGAACCTGGGTCCTTTGGACGAGCAGATAGCGCTCTTCACCACCAAACCATCTCTCCAGCCCCAGGTACTCTTGCTTTAATGAGAAAGTTGAACTAAAAACAGCTAGAACTCACTGAGCAGGCACCCCTCAAGAAGGACAGCAGATTCCGACACACAGGGATCAAGATCATCATGCTATTAAAATTCAAGCAGAAAGCTGATGCTCTGGCAAAAGCTAAGGTAGTCTGGAACAGAAGAGAAAAGAGAGATTCTATTTTATTTCAGCATCTAGCAGATGAGCACTAGTCAGGTCAACTTTTCTAAGATGAGCAAGTGGACACTGGAACAGCTTCCTGCACCTCTCAGTCATCCTATCCCAGTAATCAGCATACCAGGCCAATTTCTCCGTTTACCAAATGTGCTGAACTTAATTGAATTGAGAAATTCCTGTTACAGTAGTTTAGAAACGTTGGGGGATGTATTTACTAATGTGAACGAGAATAAGATTCAGTAATTCCACATAAGCAAATTCTGTCTATGGATGTAATATTTTGCAGTGGATATTTTTATTTCATGCATTTAATTTTAATTGTATTGTTTGCCCTTCATAAAACAGCCTTGGAGATCATATATACTTTTATATATTTTTAACTGAAGCTTACATTTAAAGGTATGTTCATGGATGATGACTATTTTATTCTCTTTCCTACATTTTCTAATGTTGACATTATAAGAAAGAAGTGCTTGTGTGGAAAATAAAAATTTATCCAGTTATGTAATACAGCTTTAAAATGGAACCCTTTGAGCAATATTCTTAAACATAGCTAAAGATAGATGAGAGAGCCTTTCTTTGTTGAGTACTTGGCATGGGACATGGGGCCTTTTATATGCTAGGTAAGCATTGTTCCCTGAGAAAGTCTAATTTCTACCTTCAGAATTTCAGGATAATTTCCTTGAGTGACCAGGGAACATAAATAAGTAAAAGGTCTAGGATCATGATATGCTCAATTCCATGGCAGCTAATCTCTCAATCTCTCAATCTCTCAACTGTATACAACTGGTCTCCAAGTTGCTTTATGTTTTTTGGACTGCTAGCTGTGAATGTTGACAATCTTATTGTAGTAGTTGAGTGGGAAAACAGCCAGTGTATTTTTTCTTGCAATTCAGATAATTTCTTAGTCTTATATGTGTGCCTGTAAATTGCTAACCAAAAAGACAAGTATGGGTGAGAATTCACATTTTCTCAGCTCTTTTAAATAATTATTAAGACATACCATACCTCTCATGCTCATGGATTGGGAAAGTCAATATTGTTAAAATGTTTACATTAATGAAAGTAATGTACAGATTCAATGTAATTCCCCCCATTATTCCAATGACATTCTTTGGAGAACTAGAAAAAAAATAATCTGAAATTCATATGGAAGTACAAAGAGATTGTGAATATCCAAGAAAATCCTTAGTAGAAAGAATAATGCTATAGGTTTCACAAAACCTGATCTCAACTTATACTACAGAATCATAACAACAAAAGTGTATGGTAATGACACAAAACACATGTAATGGAGAGATTGTGCAGCAGATAAGAAGATTGTTATGTAAGTGTGAGGACCCGAGTTCAAACCCCCAGCACCCATGCAGAAAGCCAGGCATGAAAGTCACACCTGTAACTACAATGCATGGGGAGTATGGGTAGAGACATGAGTATTACTGGGGTTGGCTGGCTACCTGCCTGGCTCCAGGTTCAGTGAGAGACCCTGTCTCAAAGGAATAATGTGGAGGGTGATAGAGCAGAAAACCTGACATATCCTAGTTTTGCATAGAAGTACACACATCTACACACACACATGCGTGTATACCACACACACAAAGTAAATAATTATACAAAACAGATACATAGTCTGATGGAATAGAATATAGCAACAAGAAATAAACCAATATACCTATCCCACCTAATTTTTGACAATAGTGTCAGAAAATCTCATTGAGAAAAAAGCCAGTCTCTTCATGAAATGGTGCTAGGAAAACTGGATATACATCTGTTGAAGAACAAATGTAAATCCATGTTACTTTGTACAGAAACAATCAGTGCAGAATGGATTATGAATCTGAATGTAAGACCTCATACTCTGATTGTGCTAGAGGAAAGCAAAGGGCAAACTTCTTCAATATTTATAACCATGGGCTTTCTGCAAAAGACCCTGATAACACAGGGTACCCCCAAAAATTTGAAAAGTGAGATTGTATGAAATGTAAAGGTTTCTCAGGGGCTAGTGAGATGGCTCAGCTGCTAAAGGAGCTTGCTTCCAACCCTGACGATCTGATTTTTATCTCCAGGACACTATGATGAAAATGGGAGAAATTGCCCTTGTTGTAGTGTGCATGTGTCTCTGTGTGTGTCTGTCTATGTGTGTATGCAGGCAATGAATTTAGAAACAGGACCATGGGAGGAGAGGAAGAGATCTTAAGTGGTAGGATCATGGAGGTAGTAGGAAAGAGATCATGGGGGTAGGAAAATGAGAGAATAATAGATTACATGTAACATGAAAGCAGAAGAGGAAACATTTCAGGAGTTAGGAAACAAGCAAATTAGGGATAGGGGAGATTGGGAGAGGCACTGCAGAAGGAAAATAAAATAACAAAGTAAACCTGACATATGTGTGTGAAAATGCCATAATGGGAACCCTTTACTTTATATGATAACTTGAAAAAGGAAGGAAGAGAGGAAGGGAGGAAGCAATGTAGTCAACTATTTTTAAAAAAGAAAGAACAGAAGAAAGAAAGCCATTTCCCCCTTAAAACCTAGACTCAGGACAATGTGACCTCAGTGAAGGAGCCAGGATGATATCTCTTAGCATCCATAATGGCTTTCAATGTTGGCAGTGCAGTGAACAAGAACTTTCCTACTGCTGTCCCTTTCGGACTCTTTACATGATCTGTGTTTTTTCCCTCTGCTGAATCACACTCTGGCTGTTTTGGGTAGAGACATCCTGTTCCGTTGCAGAAGAAAGTTTCTCTGTTCATGTGAAAAATCTTGCATTTCCACATTGGCTCCCACAGTGTACTTATTTGAGTCACAGAGGATTCTTGAAGCTAAAATTGGCAAGTGAATTGAAAGTATATAACGAAAATTTTAAAGCTCCACATTCTGTGGCAGTTAGCTGTCTGGGACAAATTCTTTTTAGGAAAGAGAAAAAAAACTTTTCTCTGTTGCAGCATGTGGAACTATCCCAATGTCTATTCATTTCTCTATATCAACTAACATTATTGAAATCCTGTGGTCACAATTAGGAATAGTGCTTCCTTGAGGTCCAGCTATACCACTCCTAGGCATATATCCAAAAGATGCTCAACAAGAACATTTGTTCAATCACATTTGTAGCAACTTTATTCATAATAGCCAGAATCTAGAAACAACCCAGATGCCCCTCAGTTGAGGAATAGATACAGAAATTGTGATACATTTACACAATGGAGTACTGCTCAGCAATTAAAAACAAGGAAATCATGAAACTTGCAGGCAAATGGTGGGATCTAGAAAAGATTGTCCTGAGTGGGGTATAACCAGAAGCAGAAAGACACACATGGTGTATACTCACTTATAAGTGGGTACTAGACCTATAAGATAGGATAAACATACGAAAATCTGTATACCTAAAAAAGGATGACCCCGGGTAAGATAATCAATCTTCACTTAGAAAGACAAATGGGATGGACATTGGAAATAGGAGGAAACAAGAAACAGGACAAGAGCATACCATAGAAGGTCTCTGAAAGACTCTACCTAGCAGTATATCAAAGCAGATGCTGAGACTCATAACCAAACCTTGGGCAGAGTTCAGGGAATCACATGAAAGAAGGGGGAGTTAGTAAGACCTAGAGAGGACAGGACCTCCACAAGCACCAAATATGTCTGGGCCCAGGGTTCTTTTCTGGGACTGAGTCTCCAACCAAGGACCATTCATGGATATAACCTAGAACCCCTGCATAGATGTAGCCCATGGCAGCTCAGTGTCCAAGTGGGTTCCCTATTAAGGGGAATAGGGACTGTCTCTGACATGAACTCAATGGCTTGCTCTTTGAACCGCCCCCCTCCGAGGGAGGAACAGCCTTGCTAGGCCACAGAGGAGGACATTGCAGCCAGTCCTGATGAGACCTGAAAAAGCTAGGATCAGATGAAAGGAGAGGAGGACCTCCTCTACCAATGGACTTAGAGAGGAGCATGGAAGGAGATGAGGGAAGGAGGGTGAAAGTGAGAGGGAATGAGGGAGGGGGCTACAGCTCGGATGCAAATCGAATAAAATTAATGTAAAAATATGAATTAATTAATTAATGTAAAAAATAAAAATTTAAATAAAAAAACCCAAAATCTTGTGGTCACTAAGGCCTCTTTTACTATGCATTTAAACTCCTTCCTCTGCTCTTCATTTGCTATGATTCATACTTAAATGAATGGTTCTCTGTATTCTCCTAAGGTGAACATAAATTTTAAAAATACTCCATATAATGCTTAAAGCAATTATAGTCCATCAATATAAGGGTCTGATATTTTCTTCAAACAATAAAACAGTGGTGTAAGCATTATAGGTACTTTAAAAGCCAATTTGATTGGTTTTTTGTTTTTTTGTTTGTTTGTTGTGTTTTGTTTGCTTGCTTAGTTGGTTTTTTTTGTTTTTTGTTTTTGTTTTGTTTTGTTTGACACAGGGTCTCTCTATGTAGCCCTGGCTGTCCTGAACTCACTTTGTAGAACAAGATAGCCTGGAACTCACTGTGATTCACCCATGTCTCCCTCCCTGAGTGCTGAGATTAAAGGTGCGCACCACCATGCTCAGCTTAAAAGCCAAAACCATACAATAGAAAAAAAGATAGCATCTTCAACAAATGGTGCTGGTCTAACTAGATGTTTACGGGTAGAAAAATGCAAATAGGTCCATGCTTATCACCCTGCACAAAAGTAAAGTCCAAGTAGATCAAAGACCTCAACATAAAACCAGACACACTAAATCTGTTGGTTGCTTTCCTTTTTTTGGAAGCTTGCATGGCACTTTTTGATACTATGAAAGCTAGTCCATAGTGAGCAGGCAGTTCCAACACAAGGGTGAGCTCTGTGTCTTAAATGCATTGAATCTGTAGATTGTTTTTGGTAAGATGGCCATTTTTACTATGTTAATCCTGCCAAGCCGTGAGTATGGGAGGTCCTTCCATTTTCTGATATCTTCTTCTAATTCATTCTTCAGAGACTGGA